AAAACCTTCTTTGGATTTGCCCAAGATTTTTGGAATTCATTTATTTCTTTCAGGAGTGGCCTGCTTTGGTTTTGGCGCATTTCATGTAACAGGATTATATGGTCCTGGAATATGGGTATCTGACCCTTACGGACTAACCGGAAAGGTCCAACCTGTAAATCCGGCGTGGGGCGTCGAGGGGTTTGACCCTTTTGTTCCGGGAGGAATAGCTTCTCATCATATTGCAGCAGGGACGTTGGGTATATTAGCGGGCTTATTTCATCTTAGTGTTCGTCCGCCTCAACGTCTATACAAAGGATTACGTATGGGAAATATTGAAACCGTCCTTTCCAGTAGTATTGCTGCTGTCTTTTTTGCAGCTTTTGTTGTTGCTGGAACTATGTGGTATGGTTCTGCAACTACTCCCATCGAATTATTCGGTCCTACTCGTTATCAATGGGATCAGGGATACTTTCAACAAGAAATATATCGAAGAGTTAGTGCTGGACTAGCTGAAAATCAAAGTGTATCAGAAGCTTGGTCTAAAATTCCTGAAAAATTAGCTTTTTATGATTATATTGGTAATAATCCAGCAAAAGGGGGGTTATTCCGAGCGGGTTCAATGGACAATGGGGATGGAATAGCTGTTGGATGGTTAGGACACCCCGTCTTTAGAAATAAAGAAGGGCGTGAACTTTTTGTACGCCGTATGCCTACTTTTTTTGAAACATTTCCGGTTGTTTTGGTAGATGGAGACGGAATTGTTAGAGCCGACGTCCCGTTTAGAAGAGCAGAATCCAAATATAGTGTCGAACAGGTAGGTGTAACTGTTGAGTTTTATGGTGGTGAACTCAATGGAGTGAGTTATAGTGATCCCGCAACTGTGAAAAAATATGCTAGACGGGCTCAATTGGGTGAGATTTTTGAATTAGATCGTGCTACTTTGAAATCCGATGGTGTTTTTCGTAGCAGTCCAAGAGGTTGGTTTACTTTTGGGCATGCTTCGTTTGCTCTACTTTTCTTCTTTGGACATATTTGGCATGGTGCTAGAACCCTCTTCAGAGATGTTTTTGCCGGTATTGATCCCGATTTGGATGCTCAAGTGGAATTTGGGGCATTCCAAAAACTTGGAGATCCAACTACAAAAAGACAAGCAGTCTGATGCAACATTGCTTTTTTGCGTCTAGTTTCTGTTTGCAATTTTATTTAATAGGTAGGGTACTGTAGGAATCTTTAATTAAATTGCTGCCGTTTCTTTGACTCTTTTTCTTTCTTTATCCGGAGGGATACTCCTAAATAAACATCTCCTAAATAAACATAAACAAAACAGGTATGAAAGCTATAATTGTAAACCACGATCAAATTTATGGAAGCATTGGTTTATACATTTCTCTTAGTATCTACTTTAGGGATAATTTTTTTCGCTATTTTTTTTCGGGAACCACCTAAAATTTCAACTAAAAAATGAAATAATTTTTTATTATCTTCATTGACGTAATCAGCCTCCAAATATTTGGAGGCTGATTACGTCAACTAGTCCCCGTGTTCCTCGAATGGATCTCTTAGTTGTTGAGAGGGTTGCCCAAAGGCAGTATATAGAGCATACCCGGTAAAACTTACAAGTAACCCAGATATAAAGATGGCGACTAGGGTTGCTGTTTCCATTATTATAAAATTGAAAGACCACAATGGATCTATGCTAAGATCGTTTATTTACAACGGAATGGTATACAAAGTCAACAGATCGTAATGAATACAAAATAAGATTTATGGCTACACAAACTGTTGAAGATAGTTCTAGATCGGGTCCAAGAAGCACTACTGTGGGGAAGTTATTGAAACCATTGAATTCCGAATATGGTAAAGTAGCTCCTGGATGGGGAACCACCCCTTTGATGGGTGTTGCAATGGCTCTATTTGCGGTATTCCTATCCATTATTTTGGAGATTTATAATTCTTCTGTTCTACTGGATGGAATTTCAGTGAATTAGACTGAGAAGAATCTTGAAGTCCTAGCTTTTAGTTCGATACAAAAAAGGAAAGTATGTAGGTCTAAAAATTTTAGCCTATTCTCCTTTGGTAGTTCGACCGCGAAATTTTTTCTGCATTGTATATTTCCGGAATATGAGTGTGTGACTTGTTAGAATTGACCCTATGGATAGTACAGAGAATGGGGTCTGTCATCTTTATCAAGATGGTTTTACTTCGTCGGATATTCATTCGAGTATCTGAAGCACGAAATGGATCAAATAGATCACAAAGTATTCGAACTATGATTCATACTTAATACTCAGACCTCGTAGCCGGACTTCTTTCCGTTCTATCTTAGAAACTTTAATAAATCAAAATCTTTTCTGCTTTTAAACTCTTATTTGGATCAAAGGACAAATGCTTCTTTGTATTTGATTTTTTTAGTGTTATTTTAGTTAGTTTTTTGATTGAATAAGTGATGATCCAACGGTTCTCACTCAGTGAACTTTTGGCTTTGAAGGTTTCATTGAATTATCGTGGTTCTCGTATGAATCTGAGGTTTCAATTGATTAGTTAAATAGGGTCTTAACAAGAGAATTCCTATCAATAATAAAGAAAACAAGAAGAAATCCGCATTCCCATTCCATACAAATACCAAATAAAAAAAACAATAAAGATAGGCAATCGAGAAGATTCAAGAAGCCAGTACAACATAAAAACGTATGAGCTGACTTGATTTTTTGGCATTTAACCACAAAGAAGAGCTTTCGCATTTTGACTCTTTCATATCTTTAAATAATATTGAATGAGAGAGAAATTGAAAACTTTATATTCCATATCTGTTTCAATGAGTCTTTGGGTCTTTTTTTGTTTGAGCTGTACGAGATGAAATTCTCATATACAGTTCTTGGAGGGGGAGTACCACCTATCTCAATAAAGTTTATGATTGGTTCGAAGAACGTCTTGAGATTCAGGCGATTGCAGATGATATAACTAGTAAATATGTTCCTCCGCATGTCAACATATTTTATTGTCTAGGAGGAATTACCCTTACTTGTTTTTTAGTACAAGTAGCTACGGGATTTGCTATGACTTTTTATTACCGTCCAACTGTTACGGAGGCTTTTGCTTCTGTTCAATATATAATGACTGAAGCTAACTTTGGTTGGTTAATCCGATCAGTTCATCGATGGTCGGCAAGTATGATGGTCCTGATGATGATCCTGCACGTATTTCGTGTATACCTCACCGGTGGTTTTAAAAAACCTCGCGAATTAACTTGGGTTACTGGCGTGGTTCTGGGTGTATTGACCGCATCTTTTGGTGTAACAGGTTATTCTTTACCCTGGGATCAAATTGGTTATTGGGCAGTCAAAATTGTAACAGGTGTACCTGACGCTATTCCGGTAATAGGATCGCCTCTTGTAGAATTATTACGTGGAAGTGCTAGTGTTGGACAATCCACTTTGACTCGTTTTTATAGTTTACACACTTTTGTATTACCTCTTCTTACGGCCGTATTTATGTTAATGCATTTCCTAATGATACGTAAGCAAGGTATTTCGGGTCCCTTATAAATAATATAGATTCTAGATATTTGTAATTACTCATTTATCTTATTACTTGGTGAAGGAACGGTAGTATTTTATATTTTATTGCTATAAATATGGATTATTAACAAAATAAGACATGTATTTGGATATTTCCCTTCAACTCCACAATATTGTATTATTTTTTTGACATAAAAGTTGAAGGGAATTCTATGAAGAGAAAGTGGATTATGGGAGTGTGTGACTTGAACTATTGATCGGGGCCGTGCAGAAATATGACTTTATCTGCTACATTGGAATTCACAACCAAATGTGTCTTTGTTCCAACCACTGTGTAAGCCCCATACAGGGGATAGGCTGGTTCACTTGAAGAGAATCTTTTCTATGATCATACCCGACGATGTCGTGGATGAGTGGGCTCCGTAAAATCCAGTAGATCTAGTAGATTAAGAGATGGAACAAAATCCTGATTGTGTTTTTAGCTATTTTTTACGAAAAAAAAAAAAAAAAATTAATAGTATGTAAATGCATTCATTTCCTCTGCATCAACTCGATTTATGATACTATCGGAGTGAATACAGGATCTAATGAAAAGTAGAGGGTAGACTCCATTAGTAACAAGTAAATCCTTTATATTTGAAAAACCTCGATATAATTTTTGAGATTAAGGACGAATTTATAAGGTATGAGACGATCCAGAAAGCACTTAATTATGATCAACTTTTTAAGCTTACGTGGGTGTTGAGCATTTATCTGTAAGAATGGAATTTATGGCAATCTTTTAGTTGCAATAACTTTGGAATCGGATAATTCTTTTTTTTTACATATTAAATACTTGTGGATAACATATATATATTTTGTATGTATTAATTTAGTTTCGTTAATTCTTGCTCGAGCCGGATGATGAAAAATTATCATGTCCGGTTCCCTCGGGGGATGGATCCATAAGAATTCACCTATCCCAATAACAAAAAAACCAGATTTGAATGATCCTGTATTACGAGCTAAATTAGCTAAAGGTATGGGTCATAATTATTACGGCGAACCCGCATGGCCCAATGATCTTTTATACATTTTTCCAGTAGTCATTCTTGGTACCATTGCCTGTAACGTCGGCTTAGCTGTTTTAGAACCATCAATGATTGGTGAACCTGCGGATCCTTTTGCAACTCCTTTAGAAATATTACCTGAATGGTATTTCTTTCCTGTATTTCAAATACTTCGTACAGTGCCTAACAAATTATTAGGTGTTCTTTTAATGGCTTCAGTACCAGCGGGATTATTAACCGTACCCTTTTTAGAAAATGTTAATAAGTTCCAAAATCCATTTCGTCGTCCAGTAGCGACAACCGTCTTTTTGATTGGCACCGTGGCGGCCCTGTGGTTAGGTATTGGAGCAACATTACCAATTGATAAATCTCTAACTTTAGGTCTTTTTTAATTAAATTTATTCAATTGTAAAATAAAAGACGTGGGTATCTAGGGAGTAGTCATTTCAAAATGAATTCTCACACAACATACGAGTGTCTGAAGACGCTTAAAGTGGTGGTGGTTAGGAACTTTTGTGGTGGCTCGAACGAGCTAGATGTGCTGATGTTTTTTATTCGGTCTGGACGTGGGAGTGGGTCTGATCGTGAACGTGGGGATGTGTTGGAATTGATTGAGATTTACTTGCCGAATGAGTTGGACAAAACTCGACTGAAGTCGTTACGTTTCCGAGCTGAGAGAGTGCAGCACATTGCGCGGCCTATACAGGTTCTTGTGCATGATCCTTGAAATGCTTGACCTTTTCAAGATTTCTCTCACTAATGGGTTTGGTTTGTCTCTCATTTATTAGTGATGTTTTTAAGTTTTGTTTATCAAATTTAAGGATGGATATTCCGGTAGGGATCCGGTTACTAAGTTTGTCATCGTTTTGTTTGTTTTATTATGAATAAGAGCCTCGGGAGAGGACTTGGTCATCTCTGTGAAACAAAGATAATAATAAATTTATTTGAGACAGTATTCTTGTTTTTTTGTTTTTTTTTGTTTTGTTTTTATTCTTGGTAATCTTGATTCTGGTTATAATGAGAGCAAGACTAATCTTGATTCTTGAACAACAAGTATCAGAAATCCTTATTGACGTCATTCGAGTATATGGTTCGGATTCATAACATTATTATTATAAAATCATTAGCATATTCTTTGTAGGTTAGCTTATTTTCATGATGAGTTCGATAGTGGTCGTGGTATGGATGGCGATCGCATAAATCCATATGGATAGTGTGGAGGCATCTGGTAAGCAGGTCAGTTTTACTCACTGATGGCAAGAATCCCAGATGATCTTGAATATTAAATATTGTTTGAGAGGAATTCTACCTTTCGAACGCACAGACTGTGTGGCAAGAATCGCAGCTGCATGATCGGGTTATCTCTGTGATCCATTCCTCTTGTTTCCCCTCTCTAGAGCAAAGGCGTTGGATTTGTGGTCTCCTATAATTGTATTTTGCAAAATAAAGCGGAACCTTTTAATAAATATGCGAAATCAACTTTTCTTTTCAATACTACAAATTAGACTGCTAATTTTTTTTTTTTTTTTCAACATCCTTCCTATGCGGTCTAGAATCAGTAATGCCAATTTGCTTTATATTAAACTCTTTCATATCAAGGTGAATTATTACAAATTGTGTATTGAATTATTTAGTAGGAAAATATCACAATATACCCACATTGTATCTTATTATATAAAGCTGGATGCGCGCAACGTGGTTGCAACACGTAGGATTTTTATAAAATATAGGATCGGGACATGTGTAACTTTTAATGTTACGTCCGTTAAGATCGTGACACATGTATTATGGGAAAAAAGAAAAAAAAAATATTTTTAAAAAATACTAGAAAAAGGATAATTAAAAAAAACGAAATTTAATCTATTAAATTAAAAAAAAACTGTTATAGTTAAAAGAAAAAAAAAATCATATCCTAATAGAATAAGGTTTCCTATTCATCAATTTATATTATCCAAACACATAATAAATTCAAAATAATGTAATAAATAAAATCTTATTAGTACATAGAATAAATTATGTAAACTAACTTTCCTATAACTATATGGAATCGGTTATCTGAACCCATATAAAAGAGAGTTAAGGTAGTCTGGTTTTTCTAATATACAAATTCATCATAACAAATTCATCAAATCTTTTTGATTCTATATCTCTAATTTAAAAATAATATTTTTGAAAGTTTACGACGTGATACATATGATTTTTATAATTGACAAAACTGCGACATGTGTGTGTTTTTTTGTATATGAAAGTATTAAGATCGTGTGACATGTGTTATGGAATAAAAAAATATAAAATTTAATATGTATAAGACCAACAAAAATATCAGAAAAACAGAAAAGAAGCAATTAAAATGAAAAAAAATGCTACATAAGAAAACAAAAAACAAGAAACAAATAATTTAAATTCGTTTGTTACATCTTTTAGGAAAAGAAAAAAAAACATATTCCCATTACAAAAAGGAAAAAAAAACAATATATAATAAGTTATAACATTCATGATTTAATTGTGTACTTTAAAAGGAAAGTTTATAATGGTTTGAGGAAAAAAAATTAAGAAAGAAATAATATAAATAGAAAACTAAAAAATAATTATCAAACAACTAACTAATATTTAAATATATATATATATATATAATGAACCGATATTCTAATTTTACATAGTTTATTTTTCAATTTTCTTTTATGTAAATATATTAAATAAATATTTCATTAATTGAAATCACTTGGATGGAACAATAAAAGTTTGATGAATTAATCGGTTGATCATATTTAGACATGTGTAAATCTTTCTACACTGGATAAAAATAAAAGTAAAACAAATTAATTCATTTTTCATATTATAAATTCAAAACGATATATCAATTACAATAAAAATGTAAAAATATTACCAATCTTCTTTTATTTAAATATTTGTTATCGGATTTTAAATATTTTTCTGTGATTTTATTACAAAATCTTAAAATAAACCTGCGTATACGCGAGGCTTAATCTAGTTTTCTATATAGTGTATACTCTAATCTTAATCCAGCAGAAGATGAATATCAGAAGAGAAACAAATAAAACAAAAACTAATCTCCAGCTTTTAGATTCAATATGCAGATTCAATATGCATACTTTGATACCAGCCTCGACGATGTTATAGGATTGTGTCATGGTGTTATCGAACACAACTTCACTAGTAATCTGAATACGACTCCTTGAGTTGGTATCAAATTTGAAAAGAAACGAACTATTAGATTTTAACATAGGGAATCTACAAGATACAGATTATTTAAGTTGATCAAAAAGATTGATCTTACTATATTTATTGAATGACCAGTAAGACGTGATCATAATCAAAATTATATATTTGTTAGACACACACGTTAATTTGTTTGGCTAAGCATGTGAATCCATTTTTCTTACTAAGTTCTCAACGAGACATATTATCAAATCTACTAGATATAAACTTTTAATCATGATCATATTTTCATTGTCCTTCAAGGAATATAACGAATTCAATCAGCATTCCCACAATTACCGAATCTCTCTCACTCAACTATTTTCTTCTTCTTGAATATCTTTATATATTTTTGGAAACATATTATTTTTTATTTTTAAAAAGCTTGGTCAAATTTCTGACCACCATTATAAAATATATATATTAGATTAATTACCAAATAAGTCTTATACCAAAAAAAAAAAGTTGATGATAGGACTAAATCTAAGGATGATACTTGAACACATGGTTTTTAGAAACATATCCAAATGAACTGTCACCAGGACACCTACTTTATATTTACATCAATATACTATTTTACTGTCAAATTACTTAAGCAATTACTTTAAATTAGTATATATGTATACTAAAAATTTTACTCTGACTAATTACCAATCAACCACAATTACACATCAACATTTAGTTATTATCATGCGTTAAATCAACTTAGTTGAGATGCTGCATGCATGTACTTATCAACATTAACAGCATAGCCTACTTAATTTGAATAGATTTGCTTACTATATAACATTAATTTATATGTATACTAAGAAAGTTGACTCTGGCATACCAAAACTATAACAATTTCTTCCAGAAAAGACTTACCAAAACAGTAACAGTTTCTTCATAACAACATTTAGATTTTATCATTCGTTGTATCAATTTCTGTTTTCTTTATAGAGTTGCTTCATGCATGGACTTGTTAACATTAACAAATACTGCCGACAAAGAAAAAATCATTAACAAAACTCCATAACACAAACTCAGATAAATTATTTTGATCTTTAACAGTGAGCAAAAGTTTCAGGTGCGTTGTTGGTTCATCTCTAAAAGTTCTTTATAAATTTAATCATGATCCATCTGTTAAATCCGCGGATTTATGCAATTTTCCGTAATGTCTCACATCCGCTGATTACCATTGAGTCTCATAGGGATGAGTTTCAATTTAGGGATGAGTTTTAACTGAAAAAAAAAAAAAAAAACAATACCACATTTGATAACGTGTCTTCTATATCTGTAATGTGATTGTTCTCCATTTTGAACCTTTGTTTCTCACTATCAAAGGTCGATTAAGTTATATATGCTTTCAACAGCCTTTTGTTTTCTTTCTGTTAGAGCAATATAGATTCAATAAATCAATAGTATACATATTCTTTAAAAGGTGGTAGCTGAAAAAAAAAAAAAAAGAGTTAATTAATTGAGTTTTTAATTGAGTTTTTGCTTGGCATTTAATCAATTTCAGGATTTCAACCGAACCAAGATGAATACTAGGATAATGAAATCAAGAAGTGAACCAGTCGACAGATTGTCAAATCTTCCTGATGTGCTTCTAATCACGATCATCTCATTACTCCCATTCAGGGAGTGTGTTAGTACTTCTGCTCTCTCGAGCCGGTGGAGGACTCTCTGTCATGAGACCACAAACATTTCTTTCAAAGAGTCCGAGTACATGAACCGCGGCCAGTTTGTCTCCAACACTGACGCTAGGGACTCCTTTGTTAGCTACATGGTCAAATGGGTCTCTAGGTTTCAGTGTAGTGTCATCGACACTTTTGAGATGCATCTCTCCAATCCGGTGGGATACGTGGGAGATATCAAAAATCTGATTGAGTTCGCCGCATCCAGAAAAGTGCGAAAGCTAGTTCTTGATTTCTCAGATCCTGCATGGAGAACTACTCGTGACGCAATATGGCTATACGCTGTTATTCATCTGCCTGCATGCGTCTACGCTCTCACTACACTGGAGTACCTGAAGCTTTATGCGGTTGAGTTTGACCCCTCAAGTTTTGTGAGCCAGGAGAGGTTGAAAACCCTCTCCATCGGTTGGACTACTCTGAAAGAGGGCAAATCTTTGCTATCAAAGTGCCATATGCTCGAGACTCTGAGTATGAGATACGGTTGGGAAGTTGATATCAAGAAGATAGAGGGGCGAATAAGAGAGCTAGTCATCGAGAACTGTAACTTCTATCACAAGAATATGTGTTCTTTTTATCTGCCTAGTATAGAGATCTTCAAGTACGCAGGAGAGTTTCTCGGCCATGTTTTCAAGAAAGGGAATACGGTGATGAAGGAGGTATCACTGGATTTCGGGGTAATGCCTGAGTATGATAAGCCTACTGGAGCATCCAGGTTTCGAGGATCGCATATTACTCGTTTCCTTCGAAGTGTTCGATCTGCTAAGACCTTCACGGCCTGTCCTTATCTCCTTCAGGTATGTCTTTTTTTACAAGAAACTCTTTGCAGTTTCAA